CATCATGGAACGGGCAAGCTATGAGGACTGCAATGATGAGCCCCTGCACTTCCAAATTTATCTCTACATCACTGTCAATAAGAAATTCCTATATACCACAAATGGAAAATTATCAAGAAACAAGATTTAAATCACTCTCTTTAGCAAAAGGTATTCTTTTTTTTTTAAACTATGCTCAGGATTTTGTTTTCAGTATACAGTATGTTTTTTGCCAGAGGATGTGAAGTCTCTAGACCCATTGTACTCTACTTTTCTCTATCACCAGCAGTTGAAATATTTTGAAATAATGACTGAAGGGTCCAGTTAGTATCCCTGCTATTCATTACTGCCAGTAGCTAATATTTATACCTCCCTTACATGCATTAACACAAACAATTAATTCTAAGAAAAGCTGAAGAATGTTTTTGGGGAAAATACAGGCTTTAAGATTTTTCTAGATTTTCAAATTACAGATGATAATAGAAATATTTGGAAGTTACTTAAGTGTCTATCTTACTATGTAAGACTCAACCATATTCACTACATGTCAATACAAGATACAGACAAATGTTTGTACTTTGGTTCACATTCAGCACAATCCTATCCGTACACGCTGTTATAATCCCCAATGAGTTCAATCAGGCTTCCTCTCAGTAAATACTGACTGGGTTGGAGTTTTGTTTGTCCTCTCAGAGCCCCTTTGTGGAGGAGCTAAGAATGACTGAGAACTACCACTCACTAAATGATACTGCATTTGGAAAGCCACAGCCAGACTCAAAATGGTGGCAGAGGAAGGTAAAGTTTGGCACGATCAGCTGAGAACTGGTGATATAATTTTATACTGATCTCTAATTCCTCTCTTTAAATTGCTAATTCTTGTCACAATAACCCCCTTGAAGCAGCAGGTTCCAGCATCCAGCTCTCCTCACATAATGTACAGACACTTGAAGTATAAAGAAACAACCATCTCATTTTAGGCAAATTTGGTTGATCAGAGGTATTTGACTGGAGGACTTTTTATTCTAGACTGTTTTCTTCTTCGGACTTTGCCCTCAGTTCCTCTCAAGGTATTAGTACTCATTTGCCACTTCTTCTCATCATTTCCTTTCTGACCTAACTTGTGCTCTAGCAAGTCCCCTTACGTTTCCTATAGCTCTCTCCTGCTTGATATACTGGGTGGACTGTACCACACTACATCCTATCTGAGAATGAGCAGAGTTTCATTGGTGGCTCCTGACCCACAGTGTGATAAAAGCTTGTCTAGGATAAAAGATGGGAAGTCAAATAGAAACGTCCATAAACCAATTAACATGCAGTCTTAGAATTCAAGACAAATTAGCGTTTGGCTCAGAATTGGAGGCAAAGGACTTAATTTAAAGTGTGTTAATGATTTCAAATCCTTCTATTCAACTATGCCTAGAACCCTGGTACTATCATGCAAGAGATGCCAACTTGAATATGGGCTATGTATTCCACTGGACTGTGTTACTTTAACTGCAGTGCTCCATGAACTTGAAAGCTGTGGTGCTTGAATACTTCACTTCAATCATGCAATTCCTCATTAGCATGGGAACTTGAATGTGCATGCAGAAACTCTCTACTCCTCCACACAGGCATTCATTTACTTCACTGCAGAATATCAGATAAGCACAAACTGTTACATATATGGAGCTACTCCGTCACTCAAAGTTGCTCATGCTACAGGGACTTCAAGGATTCTGACTCTGGCATCATTAAAATATTATGATATTGGTGAAATTACAGGGAAAATACTACTCCCTGGTATTTGTCTTAGGAGGGAGCTTTCCTCTGATGCCAACAGAAACTTCTCACTCGAGCCAAATAGCAACTTCAGGAGATGGCACTGTCAATCAGACTGCAATTTAGAAGGGATAATTAAGCTTCTTCTCTGCATGTTACATTTCCAATCATATCCTGCCTCCAGGCTGCAATTTCAATTCCAAAAACATAAATTGTAATAATACAATCAACATCACATTTAATTCACCCTTGAGTGTCTTCTCTTTTTCCACCATTAAAAGAGAACAAAAGAGTTTTCTGGCACTTTAAAGGCTAATAAGGAATAATACTTTACTCCCTCTCTTTATTTAGATAAATTTGGTCATCTTATATTAATCATAGTGTATAAATATTTGATTCAAAATATTAAAAAATAATTTGTTTAACTCTGCAAAATGTTTTTAGTTTTTATAGTTTTTTAAGCTATTTATAGATTAGTAGAAATGAGAAGAATCAAATCAACCCAAATAGTAAGGCTCTAGTTATTTATCTTATGTATGGGCCACCTTTCTCCCAATGAGGGGACTTGCCACAGCTCACATTGTTAAAACAAGTAAAATTAGAAATGCAATAAATTACACATTAAAAAACAATTATACTACAGTAGTAATTAAAATACATTAAATTATTAAAAGCATTTAAAACTTTAAAAACAATCTTACTTAGCTAAAAACCAGCATCCAGGGACTCAGTTATGGTTATTAAAAGCCTGCCTGAAGAGGTAAGTCTTCAACTGTCAGCAGAAGGATAAAGGGGAGGGGGACCACTTCAACTCCTGACGGAGAGCATTCCAAAACTTGGGAACAGTGACAGAGAAGGCCCTCTCTCGTATCGCCATCAAATATGCCAGCAGAGCAACAGGAATGAGAGGAGAGTCTCCTCTAAAGATCTTAAAGACTGGGAAGGCTCATATGGCGAAAGAACTGCTGGACAGCTCAGTGATTTAGGCAAAGGTTTGGAAGTTCAATTCCACACAGTGCCCCTCTAACAAGGGCTGAACTCAGAGATCCATAGGATCCTTCTAGCTCTGAAGTTCTAAGATTATACAGAGTAGACCCAAAACATAAAGGATTGTATTGGTAATAACAAACATTTTGAATTGGGCCCAGAAATGGACTGGTAACCATCCAACACAGGTTGCATCCCTATTCCCTCACTGTATTTTTGGTGGGGTTTTTTTTTGTATAAATACATAAATAAAATATAGTATATTATAGCTCTGGAAGCAAAAGTTAATATTTATGGGTGACTGAAACTCACGGTTACATATGCAATTTTGTGTTACTGCTGACAATTTTTATTTCAAAGAGACCAAAAATAGGCTGCAAATGTAAAGCAGAGGAACTGTGGAAAGAAGGGAAATGGCTAGTTCTTCTTTTCAGTGATTTTCACTCCTTCCAATTTGTTCCTCTGTGTTTCGATGACTTGCAGCTTTTCAACTGGCCTAGCCAACACAGCAGCACAGTATTGTTTTTGGACTTTTCCTGGTGGCCAGAGTGGCAACTTCAGTGTTCTTTTCCCTGCACAAAGTTGTTTGGGGGGCGGGGGAGGAACTGAGTAGAAATTTGATAAGAAAAACAACCAAATGGTAAAAAGGAGTCTTTCCGATGCCAATCCCCTCTATAAACCAACAGGGTCTTTTTGGCCTGCTTTTGATTGGGGGGGGGGGCAAGAGAAAGTCACATGCAACTGCTTGCAGAGGTTTGGATACAAAGTTCAGTGGAGTGGAATGCCATGAACCAGATGATTCAGAAAGCACAGAAGCTATTTTTACTGTTTCTCCCTCCTTTCAGCAGACTGCCATCCTCATCCCCAAATCTGCTCTGAGGGCAGAGTCCTCTGTCACTGCAGAACAGCATGTGAGATGATGTTGGCAACTTTCAGGTGAAGAAGGAATCGTGACAAACTGCTGCCTCACTCTCTTCTCCTGCCCAACTGGGGCCTTGCTGGATTCCAGAACCCTCCACAGAAGGAACCCTTTTGTCCACAGAGGGACAACACTGAACCCAGCACACTGCCTATTTGAGACTTTAGTTTCATGAGCTGCTGGTATATTGTGATGATGATGATAATATTTCAAAACCATTTTTAAATAAGCCTGAATGTTATGAAGTATCCCTTCCTTGCTTCCTTGTTAAGTGTTTTATTAATAGATGTTGCCATGAATCGTACTCAGCAAGAATTAGAGAAGAGAGAGTGAATAGGAAATACAAGTAAGCAAACTCTACCTGATATTTTTATGCTTAAGTTATCGAATAAAAAGCAGGACAGCTTTAGGCATAGCATATATTTAAAGGACTGCTACTTAGCAGATCTGAAAAAGCGGTATAGTGATCTCTAATGGGAAAATGCAAGTGGACGCATGGTATTAATACAGAGAGCTCCACATCCTTCCTATGGAAGAAAACCAAAACTGTAACATGCAAGCAATATTGATTTTTCTTTTTTTTAAAAAAAGAAATCAAAAAGAAGTCACACAAAATTTAGCACTCACTACAAAATATGGTTAAAAAACCCAAAGAAGTCACAGGCTACAGCTTGAAAGCAAAAGAGAGAGAGAGAAAGAAAAAAGGCCCTTCGCTCCACATGGCAAAATCAACACTTCTCAATAAAGCCGAAATGAAAAGACCACCAAAAACTTTCACTACAGCTCTTTCAATTAAATAAAAGCACACAGTTTAGCTATCAACACCACTTCATTACTGTAATAAATAAAAAAGCACACGGATATCTATTGACTATATAGAAAAAACATACATGCATCGTTAATCACCATTTTAGCTTGTTTGTGTGTTTTGACTCTACTGGTTACAGAGTTTAATTCCAAACAGAACTATTCCACCTCTTATCATCATATCCTTCTCATCAGTTATCTTAACTGTAAACGATCCCTGTCAGATTAGAAAGAGATAAATAACATTGAGTCAAGCTGAAGAAAAAGAGTGAATGGGACACAGGGGCTTGTTTATTAAGCACACGCCTTTTTGTTTTACCACATGATTTTACAACACAGATCTGCTTGTGTGTAAGGACAATAATATGCATCTTACACCACTTGACTCAGTTATAGTACTTTAGTAAGATAATTAATAATGAAGCAATGGCATTTTAAATCTAAAAATATGAAAAATATATTCTATTCTCAGCGGTTACAGTGAAGGTCATTGATATGTACATATTATCTTTTTCCCACCTCAAATACCAGTTTAAAATAGACTTACCCAAAAGGCCTCTGTATTAATGCTGGATGGAGCTGCTGAACACCAAAGGCAAAACCTAATTAGAAAGAACATTACATTATATCAGTGTTCTGTCTGCTGTACTTTTGTAGTGCAGTCCTATACCTGTCTAAGCAATAAGACTTCTTAAGTTCCAGAAACATACTCCCTATAAATTGATGGACATTGGTTAATTACCTAAAATGTATAAAGATGTAAATAAATGAACCAATGTTGATTTTCAGGCATGCAAATAAAGTAATACAATCTAATACAGCTTGAATATTTTTATAAGATTTTAGCTGTACTGTATATATTAAAATTATATTTTCTTTCATTAATATTGCACCACAGAATAAAGAGCTACTACTTCTCAGAAATCACTGTAGCCCTGAGGTTTCTGTGACTTTCCCCACCCCACTTTCTGTTTTTCATGATTTCCTTTAACAACGGTGAAGGTTTAAACTGTACTGGCAGTAGCCACTCTTAATTATCAAGTTTTTGTTCTTATTTAGAGTTCAGACTGGGTTGTGAAAACTCTTGGTTACAAGTAGTCTACCTGGTTAGTGCTAAGCTACTTAGTTTGTGATGATGGACAGGCAACTCCCCACCTCATTGTTAAACCATGAGTGGGGCAGTTCTTGCCTGATAACAACAGAAGGAAGGATCAAGAGAGCATGTGGTGCACGCCCAATCAACTACTGTAATCTTGTTTCAAATATCAGGTATACCTTTTCTGCATCAGATAATTTCATTCTGACTTATTCCAGTCAGAATTGAGAAAAATCACTTTAGGCAACAGCTCCTCGAATCTCCTAGCCAATCTGGGCACTGGCCATATTGACCAAAGATTTTCAAGATCTAATTCCAACTAACTACAGTTTAAACCAAAGTTTATAGCAGCTTGGGGGTAGCAGTGTAATCTGGTTTATTCAGAAAGTAGAGAATAGATATTTTCTATCTTCTTGTGGTTGGACTAGATCACTGGTTCTCAACCTTGGCTTACTCAGGAGTTGTGGACTGCAACTCCCAGAAGCCTTCACCACCAACTGTGCTGGCTGGGGTTTCTGGGAGTTGCAGTTCAGTTTTCTGGGAGTAACAAAGGTTGGGAACCTAGGGACTAGATGAAAGAAGAGGGGAGTTCACAAGCCTGTAGCTTGTTTCTGTTCCTTCATAGAGCACTAATCTGTGGTTTAGTACTGTGTTTCCCCGAAAATAAGACAGGGTCTTATATTATTTTTTGCTGCAAAACCGCATTAGGGCTTATTTTCAGGGGATGGTGTATTTTTTTCATGTACAACAATCTACTGTATTTTTTCCATGTATAAAATGACACCTTTCCCTAAAATAATTAGGGGGGAAATTGAGGGTCGTTTTATACACGGAAGGAAGCAGGGGCAAAGGAGCACTTGTACGCGCTCGGGCACCTCTTGCTGCCACTGCCATCACTGCCCATTGCCCCCTCCAGTGCAACTGCCAGGCTCACCTCCAGCTCACGTGGCTGCCTTGTCCCCTCCGGTGGCGGAGGCAACAGCAGCAGGGTGGTTTTATGCACGTAAGGAAGCAGGGGCAAAGGAGCACTTGTACGCGCTCGGGCACCTCTTGCTGCCACTGCCATCACTGCCCATTGCCCCCTCCAGTGCAACTGCCAGGCTCACCTCCAGCTCACGTGGCTGCCTTGTCCCCTCCGGTGGCGGAGGCAACAGCAGCAGGAGGTGGAGACAAAGGAGCACTCGTACGTGCTCGGGCACCTCTTGCTGCCACTGCATTCCTTCCTCCAGCACTCCCTTCGGGCAGGGGACAAGGCGGTGAGGCCGTGAGCAGGAGGTGACCCCTGGCAATCGCAATGGAGGAGCTGATTGAGCAGTGGAGGCAGCAGCAGCAGGAGGCGGAGGGAAAGGAGCACTCACATGCGCTCAGGCACTTCTTACTGCTGCCACATCGCTTCCTCCAGCTATTGTCTCCTTAGGGCAAGGGACAAGGCAGCAAGGACATGAGCTGGAGGTGAGCCCTGGCAATCGCAATGGAGGAGGTGACCGGGTGGCAGAGGCAGCAGCAGCAGGAGACGGAGGTGGAGTTGCAGGTGTCCATTAACTGCTCCTCCACTTCCAGCAAGGGTCAAAATTAGGGGATTGTTTTATACTTTGGGGGAGTCATATACAAGGAAAAATACGGTACATTTATTCAAATACAGTCATGTCATCTTGTTTCCTGCACAATAGTGGAGGGCAGGGTTTCACTTAACTGGGGCTTATTTTGGGGTTAGGACTTATATTACGAGCATCCTGAAAAATCATACTAAGGCTTATTTTCAGGAAAACAGGGTATTATACCCAAACTTTAATTATTTCAGTTTGTACACCACGCCATAATGCACACATTCTCTGGGTGCTTTCCAAACATTAAAAACACATAAAAATACAAGAAAGACCAAACAAAATATATAAATTGGGGGGAAAACCTGTTCCAATTTGTATAAGCATAATAGTTAAACACCTTTTCAATACTCAATTTCATTCATCTTGCCAGGTGAATGGCTCGTAGAGGCACAGCAATGGCAACAGTAACAATCCATTCAGAAACAACATGCAATCACATTTAGTACAATGTCATTTGTAAACAGACTCTGAAATCATGGTTTCCAGTTCTGGTTTATGCAACCAGTTGAAAATCATGCTATATCAATTTATAAATCAACCCAAACTATAACTAAGTTTGGCATGCTGTCCAGACTGCCTGGAAGCCAATTTTTGCTCATGAATATAGTGCCACACATGATTAGAATACTTCCAAGATAGGAATTAAAATGCACAGGCAAAATAAACAATATACAATTAAACATCTTAGTACCTAAGATAAGATACTATCCATAACATCACATTCATATTTGCAATCTCCTTGTTATGTAATTTCAAAATATTTTGTATACCATTCCACACATAATACCATCTAAGACAAGTAAGGATAAACGAAGCCCTTCTAGAGATGTGAATGACAGGAAAAAGAACAGAAAAAATGGGGTGGAGGCAGGGGAGAACAGTTCCTCCTTTAGAGCAAATAATCAATTTTTACAGAACAACAATTGGAAATTGGGGGGGGGATACAGATACCAACTTCAAAAACATTTTCTCTCAAAATGAGTGAAATGTTTTTAAGGCACTCCAAATGCTGTAATAGGAAGGTTCATATGGAAGACAGTCTACAAAATTTGAGCCCCATAATTTCTGTGTTTACTGCTGGCATTTACAAGATGCATTTCTGCAGCTTGTAGCTGCCATCATATTGATGAACATACATAAGGGCCCTCACTGCTCTTCAGCAGTATGGCATGGGTCTGTTCTAGTTTGGAAGTTTATTACAGTCACAGAAACAAAACTTCTGAATAATACATTTTTTATTTCATTTTAAACACTGGTTTCTCTTTTTTACTTTCTCCTTATGTTTCAGACAGGAGATCTGAAATACATGTATGCAACATACAATGCAGCAGTTTGCAGATGTTATATGCCAATCAGCAGTGCAACCGAAATGCAAGCATATGCCGGCTCTAGTAGGTTTGAAATGGCTGACAGCCCTCGTGCCAGCTGATGTTTGATCTGTGGCACAACTGGGTCTGCCAGCCCAACTGGAGTGCTGAGATCAACTGGCAAAAGAACCACAAAAGGGGCAGAGAAAGGGAGGAATAATTATGGTAGGTCCAAGATGCTCTAGAGTCAGACTTGCAGGTGCTCCGCTGGCACAAAGTTAGGTCAGAGTAAAGGTAAAGGTTCCCTTGACAATTTTTGTCCAGTCATGTTCGACTCTAGGGGGCGGTGCTCATCCCCGTTTCCAAGCCACAGAGCCAGCGTTTTGTCTGAAGACAATCTTCCGTGGTCACATGGCCAGTGTGACTTAGACACGGAACGCTGTTACCTTCCCACCGAGGTGGTCCCTATTTATCTACTTGCATTTGCATGCTTTCGAACCGCTAGGCTGGCGGGAGCTGGGACAAGCGACGGGCGCTCACTCCGTCGCGTGGATTCAATCTTACGACTGCTTGGTCTTCTGACCCTGCAGCACAGGCTTCTGCGGTTTAGCTCACAGCGCCACCACGTCCCTTTAGGTCAGAGTAGTCTTCTTTAATTTCAAAACCTCCCTAGGTTGTGAGGTTTTTGGATTCAGCACAACCTCACAAAACTTCGTGTTACTTCAGTCAGACTTGAGTCATCTTGGCTAGCTAGAACTGCATCTTCAAACATCTCTTCTACCAGCTGCACTCAGCCAGCACAGCAATTGTACCAGCAGATCTGAGATAAACCACCTCAAGGACAATACCAGCAACACAAAACTTTTGCTTTGGGATTCCTGAGCTAACACGGTGTAAAAGTGGCCAGAACTCATATGGAATGCTTGAACATATATGGAATGCTTTTCTCTCACCAGTAACCATTACTACTCCAAATCCATCTTGGATTAGTAGAAAGAGTGTTAGTCCAAAAGCTTCTGGTTTTAGATGCTGGGGAATACTATTTAGGGCTCTTATAGGAAAATCAACTATGTTCATCTTTAAACCTTATGTTACTCCTCGTGTTTCCTTTAAATTAGGGATGGGTGATTCTGGCCCTTCCAAAATTGCTGCACTTAGCTTTTAGTCGCTATCAGCTGATTAGGGCTGCTGAAGACAGAACATTTTGGAGATCACTCATTCATACGGCTGTTGTACGTCAAAGGCAACTTGTCGGCCCATAACAACAAGCTTTTAGTAGCTTAAGCCCAGAATAGCCAGAGGTGATCAGTGATGGATGTTTAACAAGAGCAGTATTTAAAAAGACCGGTAGTATAAAATTTTAAGGAAACAAAATTATGGGAGAAAGACTCTCTCCCCTGGAAAAATAGATTTTGAGAAAATAAAATAGAACTTTATGCAATACTTATTTTCAGATCAAACTAAAAAGGTTTTACTAGTTCCCAGTTCAAGCCATACTCAAAGATCTGCCAACTGTAGTGTGCTTGAATAGACAGAAATGTCGTATGATGGGACCACTGTCCTTGTGCAATTAATATATGATGCTATGCATGCTAATCAGAAAAAAAATTCATATAAATGCAAACATTGGCCTTTAGTCTCAAAAACCAAACAAATTGGAAGCCATTCTAGTTATCACTTCAGCTTACACCTGTCCCCGTTTCAAAACAGTTGGCAGCAATGTGTTATCAGTAGCAGTGAATGAGAGCGCTGACTGTTGATGCAGTCAACATGTTATACCAGAAGTGATGAATTCAATATTACAAGAGTATATTTTGCATGTGAACCTCCATCCACCATGCCTTCTTGGAAGAAGGCAATTTCAAAACCAAACATTCATGAAATATGAGGTATTTATTTTCATTAAGTTTTAGCACCATTATTTAATTTATAGAAGTAATTAAAGGAGCACAATATCTCATTTAATTGACATGCTACACAAGATACACACACAAAAGCACTTACACAGTATATCTACATTGTGTATTTACCATTTGGATATACTAACACTGTAGTTGTATTTATATGAGAGCAATTTTCACTGAATTTAATGGGACAAGTGCTAGTAAAGTTGCACAGAATCAGACTAGAAACTTTTGATGAAAAATATTGTGATTTTTTCAAAGTACACATAAATTACATGTTGTGACAACACTTTCTTTAATTCACTGCTTCTACTTCTGAGAGCACTTCTGCCAACAAACTTTTTGGGGACGGAGTATGTAAAGATCTTTGCTCCTTCTTCCATTTCTTAGAAAGGTATATGTTTGAGAAAGAATAATACATGGACACAACTTATCTTCCGGCAGTGGTGAATCAAACTTTAGTTCCCAACATAAAACCTTAAGACAATCACCTTCCATTTCTTCCACTGCTTCTTTGGAACTTAGACTCAAAGAGCACTAATGTCAGTCTGACATTTAAGATGTATATCTTTGATCTAGTGCCTCTTTCTTCAGTATCATATTTTCAGACCATTTAATAATCAAAGATCTCTGGGTGGTGTAAAATATATTAAGACATATTTATACATTAAAAAGGTACTATATAAAGTTTTGTATTGCATTGGCACAACCTGCCTTGAGCATGTATTTGTTGGCAGAAAAATAATAGACCAGGGTGACAAAGAGCTGTATCAGAAATATGTTTTTCCAAAATGGGGGGTCACGTTCCTCCAGCTACTCATCCTCCAAACAGCCTTGCTGACACTGGATAATGTTTAAAGCCTCCACTTCTCTGGTCCAGTGATGAAAAATTAGGCAAGAAAGAGAAGAACTGTTCTTACCTGGCTGCATTATCCTTGGTTTTGCTCCTAAATAAGCTAGATTCACGTTGGCCTTTCTGCCATCAATTATTGGATTAGGATCTTTGCAGGCCCTTTCAGCAGCAGCCCGGTCAGCCATCGTCACCTTGACAATGAACAGTGCAAGATATCAGAAGTGGCATGTTTAATACAATTCAAAGAACTCATTGTTGTGCTTCCACATACAATAAAACAATGCAATCAGAAACCGAACACCTTTTGATATACCGTCTCAGGATCATTTCACTCAAATGAAAATACCCCGACATCACAATGCGAAGATCGGTAAGCGAAACGCTTACTGATCGTCGCAAAGTGAATTTTGCCCACTGGAACCTTCGGTATGCGATCGCATTAGCGATTCCAAAAAACGGATCGCTATGTGAATTCGTTGTTAAACGGTGCGCTCGTTATGCGAGGCACCACTGTACTACTAGCCAAGAGGCCAGCCTCCCTCCCCCACTACACAGCAGCTTCTGCTCCCACAGTACCTACTGCTACCCCAGTTATTTTAGCACATGAAGCAGAAAATCCCACAAATGCCTCTTCCCATTCCTGGTAGCTGACATACAGTAACAACTTAAACAACTGACAATTTGCTTTGCTTTCACAGCATCACAAATCTCCGGCCAGAGGTAGTTGCCTCAGGCTGCCTAGCCTTAGGGCAAGCTCTGACTGAGCCAGAATGTTTGCTTCTGCTTCTTTGTCAGGTTAACCAAAATAATCATAGTCATCCTCTGACTATGTATGAAGCATTCTCGCTTTGCCCCCAAAACCGTGGTCCTGGAAGTTTTGCAAGCACTGAACACCAATGACACAGCATGTGCGGCAGGAGATAAAAATACTAACATGCCATATCAGTATGGAACCAGCTGGCTTCAGCCAACTCCAGACTTCACAGGCAACTTTTCATGCACAAAACTAGGAGGCAAATCTCTTCCTCAGGGACACAGCACAACTCCTCTACACACACACACACACGTAACTTTCCAAGGAAGAAAGGAGCCCCTCAAAACAAACGGTTCCTCTGAGAGGGAAGCGAAAACACCCCCATTTCGTTTTACTTCAGTTCCAGGAAGTTTTGCCGTTAACCATCCCATGTCCGACCCCGCAGCCTGGTCGTCCCCACTCAACCTCCCCCTTCTTTCTGGGGCAGGGCGACGGGAGGCCCTTTCCCGACCCCGTTGCCTGTCGCTCCTCGCCTACTGCCGACGTCCAGGGCTTTGGCGGGAGCGACCCGGGTCTCCCGACGTGGCGCACCGGCACCTCCTGGTTCGTCGGGACTTACAAAGCCATATCCTCGCGATTTGCCCGTCTGCCTGTCGGTGATGACCACGGCTTCCTCGATCTCGCCGAAGACCTCGAAGTACTTGCGCAGGCTGGAGTCGGTGGTGTGGTACGGCAGACCCCCGACGAAGATCTTGGTGTACGTGGTATCCTTCTGGGTCGTGTGCATCTTCCCACACGATGCTTCTTCTTCCCTGCTGTGTTCCTCCCGGCGAGCCCCGGACGAAAAACGCACTGACGACGACGACGCCTTCCCTTCACCAACGGCGAGTTAAGCGCGGGTTGCCAACTTCTGCCCTCGCCAAGCGTGCCTCTTCCCAAATAAAGAGCGAGAGAAAGGTGGGAAGCCCCGCTTCCCTCGACCGGCTCTTGCGTTGCTTATTTCAGGCGGAGAGGAAACCTCTTAGGCTGCCCTGAGGTAGATGAGTTGTTAACTCGAGGGGAAAAGGGAGGGCGCGGCGGTAACGGCAGGAAAACCCCCCGGGCCCAGCCTGAGGCAACGCAAGTGCCTT